GTGACAGTCTTTGGTTGCTCTCTTGTGGCTGCCTTGATGGCCTGAATCAATTCAAAACCTTTACCTTTCATGGCCACCTTACTTTGGGGAAGGTCCAGATGGTGCACAATGCCAGATCCAGTGACTAAGGTGGATGTGGATCATAACGCTTTTACCAGCCTGTCTTTCCTTGGGATGGCACTCGGCAGCAGCATTCACCCCATTTTTCATCACCCCTTGTATGTTTATGTACACATTGCATATGCACGCACACATGCACACCTATGTGTGCTTTTAATATAGCAAATTTATAAATCAGAAGTAGATTTAATTAAAAAGAATTCCCCTTAGGAACAGACTAGAACACAAGCTTTATCTAATAAAAACTATTTATATTTCCTATCTATTCTTTCACTGTTTATTCAACAATATTCACCAGCTACTCACAGGTAACGAGTCTTTCTTTGAGGAGGTACAGGTGAATCTGGCAAGTTCAGATCCTTAATAGGCTCATTCAAGAAGAGATATCAAGACATAATTGTAAATTCAATTTTTTAAAAAACCTTTAATAGAATTGTGTGAAAGGCACAGGAAGCTCTTCACTGTGAATTATAACGTCATGTTGAGAGTATAAGCTTGGGAGCATCAGAACATTGAATTGCTTTTAGCACCTTGGTAAAAAAAACATAAGGTGGGAATATTTGTCTGGGTCAGCTTCTGGGTTCTTTATTCTGCTTCGTTGATCTGTATGCCTAACCCTGCACCACAGTCACAGTGTCTTGATTACCATAGCTGTAGAGTGAGCCATACTCTCGGGTAGAGTGATTCTCCCACGTTGTATTTTGTTGTCAAGATTGTTTTAGTTATTTGAAGTCCTGTGCCATCCCACAGAAATTTTAAAACAACTATTTTATGCTGCGGTTTTGACAGGCATTGCATTAAACTCACACATCATATGGAGAGAATAGACAAATTTACTATGTTGAGTTTTCCAATCCATAGACACATATATCTGTCAATTTGCTTAGGTCTTCTGTGACTTCCTTCATCATTTTATAATTTTCAGTACATTAATCCTCTGTAAGTTTCCTTAAATATATACCTAAGTATTTGATTATAGCTGCCATTGTGTTTTCAGTTTTGGGTATCCACATGTTCATTATTCATATTGTTATTGATTTTTAGATAATGTCTTATAACTTGAGGTTTTACAGAACTCATTCATTACATCTAAGAATATTTCTGTAGATTCCTTGGGATTTTCTACATGGATAATTCATCTGCAGCTAGTGACAGTGTTATTTCTTCCTTTCCAGTCTTTATATTATTTTTTTCTTGACTATTACTCGCAAGAATTCTAATACTATGCTGACTCAGAGTGGTGAGAAAGAAGTATCCTTACCTTGTTCCTAATCTTAGGGGAAGAGCTTTAGTTTCTTACCATTAAATATAATTTTAGCTGTACATTTTTGTAGATGCACTTAATAAATTGAGAAATTTTCCTTTTATTTCTAAATTACTGAAAGATTTTAGCATGAATATGTGTTGGATTTCGTTAAATCCTTTTTAACATTATTTGACATGTATCAATTTGGAGAGACTGGACAACTTTTGGCTTAATCATTTGGCTTAATCTTTTTTTTTTTTAAGTTTCAAAGCTGGAAAGAATGATTCTCATTAAATTCCCTGGGACTAATTGCATACATAGGATGTTTTCAATGATATATAAATAACACGGAATAAATTAAAATAAAACCATGAAACTCTCCTTTTCGACGTTCTGTTTGGAGATGCTCCTTGCCTAGCAGTGGGTTTACATTGCAGTTCCACACCTCGCACATCAGTATACTGCAGTAGAATACCAGTTGTTCACCGTGTGATAGTGTGGCTGACTAGGCGCTGCAGCCAGCCTCCACAGAGAGGATGGTATAGCATACATCAGTGGCCCAGGAAAAAGATCGAAGTTCACATTTCCAAGTGTGGATACTACAGCAAGTGCGTAGCTTTCACACCATCTCCAAGTCTGAAAGTCATGAGCTGAACCATTGTGAGTCAGGCACCTGTACTTTCCGTTGTTCTTTTTCTTTTGAATGTTGCTACTGATTAGCTGCTGAAATTAACTTCTTTTTGGTACTTTACCTTTCCTTTAGTATTTTAATGCTGTGCTTCCCAAATACTACCAGTCTAAATGCACATTCAAAGTTAAATAAGCTGGATTTCAAATTAGGGTATCAAAACTGAGTCAAATTAAGTGAAGTTACTAAACACAAACAAAACATAGAAATGACATACAGTATTACAAACACCATTAAATTGTTTTTTCTTGTATTACATAAATATTTTCCTAAAATAGTGCAGATATTTGAGGCTAGGGAAAATAATAAATTCTGCCTTTGGAGAAAAAGGCAAGACAGGTTCATTATGAAAACTGGTTGAATTTTTTAAATGAATTCACTGCTTTGGAGCATTGTGCACCGCAGCTTTGAAAGGGAAGTAAGGGTTATTGACAACAAGGTTTATGGAGCTCTAGCCCGGCATCCCTGAGAGGTTAAAGTGAAGTTATCATGATGTGCTCCCATTTCCCTAATGTGTTTGTACTACACTTCATGGGCCTTCCTGCTGCCCCCTCAACTGCAGCCTGAAGCCATAGATGTCACCGCCCACCTGTAGGTCCCGCTAGCCATCACCACCTCCTAGTAGTGACCTGCAGCCATAGGGCAATGTTATCCCCAAAAGCTTGGTAAAATGTCAGCTACATGCAATGTCAGCCAGAAAAATGTCAGTTCTCAAAATAACTTCACTCCCCTAAAGCTTTCAAGATGTTTTCTTGTAGATAATATTTCTGCCTTTATCAGACGAAGGCTGGCTTGAGCTTCACTCTGAAGTTTAATCATTGAAGGGAAATAATTTAGGATTCAGTTACTGATTTTTAATTAAGTAGATCTGGACCTGGATCTCACTGCTTACTGTGGGTTTGGATTTCCAGTAGTTCTCCAGCCAGAACATTTTCTTTCTCGAAGCAAAAGCTCTTTTGAGTGAAATGTTTCCAATTTAGAGCAGAAGGTTAGAGTGACATTTGTTCTTGGGCACAAGGTGTGTCACTGGAGGGAGGCTGACACAGCCTGACTGATGGAGCAGGTGTTGATGGATGAGCCCTGCCTGGATGGTGGGAACATGTGCAGCAGCGGGGAAGACGATGGATTTACGGTGCTCCACATGTCAAGGTTAGAACGTGTCATACCATTAAAAAGGGCAGCTTCAAAATATCAGTGCAGACATATATGTTATATATGTACACACATACACACACATTTTTAATATGGACTCATCTTTTTTTTTTTGGTACCGGGGATCAAATTCAGCTCCTTGCGCTTGCGCAGCAGGTGGCAAAACCACTGAGCTAAATGCCGGGCCCTGGACTCATTTTTATAGTCACAGACTTCTTTTTTCTTCCCATTGTACCCTGCTACCATTAAAATACCAAAACAGCAATGTGGCAGTAGCACATTTGCAACACATCTTTCTTTTTTTAAGGGTGATCTTTACATTTCCATTTTTCATCAGAGGATCAAAGGTGCAGAGCAGTTTTATTATGTTCAAACCCTAAATTGGAGGACTTAGGGAGATTCCATTTCCTTTACCCTACAACATCTGTTTGCTCAAATAACATTTTTTCTTCAGTTATTTGACTATCTTGGCAGGCTTGACCAGAGATTATGTTAGCTCTTCGACTTCTTTATTCCATGTGTATACAAATATGAATTAAGCCATGTGGTCTATTCTGGTTTGATAACTCAGACCAGGTATTTGTGTGTGTGTTCATTTGCTGTTGCCAAAATGTGCTGTACACAAGCTCTTCCACAACTCTGCGGCAGCTCTGCGCATTTGCTGTTCGTTGGCCTAAGGTCAGAGTTGAGGAGGTTTGCGAGTGTTTACAGTGCAGGTTTGCTTCCAAATCCAAGTGCAACATCATAGTGCCCCCTGATGTGGAAAGTGACCCTTTGACCGTTGCCTGGTAAACACTTGGCCTAAGATGGTGATAGTCAGCTCGGGGCCTTGGGATTCGACTTGGAATCAGTAATGACCTAGAGTTGTATGAAGTGCAAGCATCATGGCATTACTTTGAGCACTGATTTAGTCCCCGTGCCTACTATGTCTGTTTTGAGCTTAATTTTTCCTGTTTTTTTAAACTGCCCACAAATTTTTCTTCTTCCTACCCCATTTCAGAGACCTGCTTAGACTGTGGAGTGGACAAAATGAAATCCAATAATCTGAAGACTTTGTTCCATATTTTTCCACAGTAGACCATTTAATCATCTTTAGCATGTTCTAGTCTCCCTTCTATATTTTTATTCTGTATTACACATTTTTGTATTTCAGAGTAGACAATGGTGTCCTGTAAAGTTCTTCTTCAGTTTTCTCCCCACTCTGATTTTGGAAAGGAAAAACATCAAATATAAGGCATGATATGACACAAGCTAGACTGGAGTGTTCCATGCTTCCCAGCTACTTTCTCTCAAACAATTCGAATAAAAAAATTGCTGGGAGCCAGTTTTCTTTGAGGGTTTGGATAAATCTTCATAAACTCAGTTTTCAGGCTGGCAGTGTTCATAAAAGCAGAACATAGAAGTAAAACATACATTTTCCAACAGTTTTATTATGCAAAATACTTGATTTTGTATAAACTTGGATTTACAAGGTTGGAAAGGCTTCAATAAATCACATGAACAGTTCCAAAAATGCACATAGAACTAACTGTGGTTCCTCACTCTTTTAGGCAACTATATGCAAGTGAGAAGGAGGTGATGCAGGGTTGGGATGGGAGTGGAGAGGGAAGGAAGGAAGGGCCAAGGCAAGTGGAAATAACCCCCGCGAAAGCCTGCAGATGTTCCGTGGGTAACAGGATAACATTTGCACAAGTGCGACAGAAAATAGAAACTATGCGCTTTTCAAAACTCTCCACATCCGTTTTAAGATTCATTCTGCTTTGACTTGATAGTGACACGTGTTTGTTTTAACAGGACCACAGCATGGATGTGGGGGTTACCTGACAGGTTCCGATAGCACTTTGCTCTCTCCTGATTCGGATTCAAATGGAAGATACGACAAGCACTTAAACTGCATATGGTTCATAACTGCACCTGTGAACAAAGTAATAAAACTCACCTTCAACACATTTGCTCTTGAGAATGAAAGTTCTGCAAGGATATGCCAGTTTGATTATGTGAAGGTAAGACTATTAAATTATAACAGAATCTGCCAGCCGCAAATTAGCATAGTGCCTTCCAGTCTATACCATAATTCGAAGTCTTGGAAATGGTGAGTACTATTGCTTTTCATAATGATGTATTCTTCAATGATGCCACATATGATATTGCTGATGGCATATCCTCATATCAGGATAATCTTTCATATAGGTAACTCCAAAAATTTGTGTGGCTTCTAAATTAACTAAGATTCAGTTTGTACTTCATCAATACCTTGTCAAAAGGTGATCTGTGAGAGGACTGGTTGTTTGGAGAGAGATATTCAAATGACCTTTGGCAAACCCTAAAATAAATGACAATGTCTGTCATGTGAATAATCACCCTTAATTTGTCTGTTTATTAAGTTTATAGCCAGACTTTTCATATTACCTTTCAATATTGAAAATATCTTAGTTCTTAAGTCTCATTGAATGTAAACCATGAACCTTTCTGTGCAATTTTTAAAATAATTATCTAGTATTGTTACTGTAGCTTTCAGACTATATGAATTCAGATTATAAGTGTTAAGCAGTATCAGCCAATACTTACTACTACACTTTTGGGGGAAAAATAACAATGTGAATCCAACATGAATTTTTCAGGATAATCAATATTTAAGAGCTAACTAATGTATTAGACACAAGGTTGAAGCACTATGCAAGTTTAAAGGGAAAGGAAGTTAAGGAAAACCTGGTGTGATCAAGAAAGACTTCACAGGGTGTGGGAAAACTCACTCAAATTAAGAGAGAATTCGAGACCAGGTAGATGTAAAGAAGGGCATAGAAGTTGGACTGTGCATATTTTTTAAAGAATGAGGAGGCTGGCTTTCTTGGAGCAAAATACTAATAGATTAAGTAGAGGTAACGTTGCCTGACATAGGAAAACCTAGGTTACAAAGGATCTTAAAAGACAAATGAACGAATTTAGTTTTTATGCAGCTGAAAGCAAGCAGTGGCTGAAGGTTTTGCAGTGAGTGAGTGTGTGGAATCAGAATCCAGGTGGGACCGGAAGGAGAGGGCCCCTGGGCGAGGACACACTAGGGCTAGGTGAGAAGTGCCTGGAATCACGTGGGGAAAAACATGACGGCTAGGTGGTCTTCAATTTTAAAGACATTGGTTTTAAATAGAAGGAAAAGTCATAGGTGGAATAAACATTTAAGCACTCGATTATCTACCTAATTTTACCGCGATAAGCACCGTGTTCAGGACATCAGGAAAACATGAGCACTGTTAGGTGTCATGGTTTCGGCGACAACACACGGACCACGGGATTGCTCTGGGCATAGAGGGGACAGAGTTCTCACAGGATACAGACGTCGTGCCGTGACCAGAGAGAGACAGCAGCTGCACGTCAGGGAAGAGAAAGAGCGCCCCCTCAGACAGCACAGAGCTAGCCCTGCACTCTCCCTGGCTCCCAGGAAGGCAATTGGAGAGGACAACAGAAGCAAGAAAAGAAACAGATGAGAAGTGAAAACTGGGAACACTGTACCACAGTAGTGCTGAAGCTGAGGGAACGACTCTCTTTTCCGAAGCATGGGTGGTCGATGCTATTAAATTGCAAATTACAGGGCAAGAAAGGTAAAAGTGAAGAACAAACCCATTGCACTGGATGACAACCAATTTAATAAAACACTGGGACAGAAGCCAGATCAGAGGGAGTTCATGAAAGACTGGAAATAACGAGGAATGTCAGCTCAGACTCAATCCTTCCTCTCTAAAATGCAACCAAAATGGCCAGAATTGTCCAAGCTGATTTTTAAGACCTCAAGAGTTCCTCTGCTTTTACAGAGAGGAAATAAGCTTTGGAGGCTGATAGTAGGCGGACTCAAACCCTGTTTTGTCACCAAGTTTCTTAATCTCTCTGATTCTTCATCCTTCTGTCTACTTAAGATGAATCATCACACAATAGAACCTTCTGTACAAGGATGTTTTGAGGATTTTTAAAAATGCATATGAGAGTGTTTAGGACTGTGTCTGACATAATTTGTTTACAAATTTATTTCCCTTTTTTTCCCTCCTTCGAGTAAATCCAAATAGGCACAGAGGCTATGGAATATCTCTTTCTTAAAATACTGAAGATAGTTGGCTCACATAAAAATTATTATAAACTAAGGTTCATGTAGGACGTCTTACAAGGGGTCTGATCTTACAAGGAGAGTTGATTGAATACACTTTCAAGCACTTTATCAGTGTGGTTTGATATGTTGTATAACAGCTTGTAATCATCTGAATTTCCTGAAGTCATTTAGGACAGAAGTGGCAATATCAAAAGCTAGTAATTCATTTCTAGCTTCAGAACAAACATTATTCATTCCCCTAAAAATTTCTGTTTAGATCGACTCCTGTTTTCCCTCTTGGGAAAGCGATTTCCCTCTGCTGGCAACTTTTCCCACTTCTGCTAACTAACAGACCCAACCATGGCTCTTGGAATGTGAAGCTTGGAGGGACCCTTATTACTGCGCTCAGTGATAAATGGGACATTGGATCCCTTTAAATTGCTTCTTAGAGATTATAATAAAATTGCTTTTTAGAAAAGCTAGATTAATTCCACTCTATAAGTAGATATGCAAGGCATATCATGCCAATTCCATTATTCATGCGTATTTCTGTCACTGTTGTTTTTGAAGGGGTTGGCTTGGGGAGTAAGTAACGCATAATGAATTGTGCACTTCATTGAGTGGTTGCTATTGAAATCGACATCACATCCATTTCATGGAGTTATTTGGCAGTCGTTGCACCTGGCAGGGAGATGTGGAGGGTTAAGGACACATCTCCAGGAGCCAAAGCTTCTCAAGGAGCTATCAGCCCATGGAGGAGATGATGTATAAGCAGATGTGTTATTATACAACACGGCAAAAATGGCAAATATAAGCAATGTAGAAAAGTAGAGTGCCAGGGGATCTCACTGGCTTCATTTTGAGGCTCAGGAAGGGTTGCCTAGGTGGGATGCTCAGCGGGCTTTTACAAAAGAAATGGAAGCCTCTTCCCTTTCTTACCCTCCACTAATTGAGAGGAATGTCACAAAAGCATGATTCTTGAGGGAGGCTGACCACCAAAAATAAGGAAAAAGAGAGTGGCTCTTCTTTACATAACATCATGCCCAGCTCTGACACCAAATTCCCTATCGGTTCAGTCACTCCTGTGGTGAGGAGTGAAGAGGTGACTGAGAGGCGCTGGGAGCGTGACTCTGACTCCCTTTGCTGGGGAGCATGGTGGCAGCAGTAAGGAGATGGCCCCCTCGGAATATTTCCCAGCATTCCCTCAACCAAATCAGTACCCCATGTATAACCAATATTTTATAACGCTTCCTTTCCCGTCTGATGTGAAAATTTTCTACCCTAACTCTCCTGTGGGATTAAGCAATGTGGCTTCTAAACAGTAAATACCATATTTACCCCCAAAGTACTGTTTCAATGCCAGCATAAATGCAAAGAATGCTACACTTGTGTAAAACATTCCCTAAGGACCGATGGCATTGAAAAACCTCTGTCTTAACCCACTGGGCTTAACCATTTGATCTGTGGCCAGCCACTGGGAGGAGGGGCTGGCTGTCTTTGGGTAGAAGACCAGCTGTCCATGCAGGCACTGGATGCCTGTGAGGTAGTACTACTATTTCTGCCTCCCTTCCTTTTTCCTAAATGAATGTTGATGTAAGCCTACATTATTCTAGAACCTTCTCTGAGCACAGGAATAAAGCATTGAGTTTTGTAGATATCCTGCTGCAGTTTAGATCTTTAATGTCCCCCAAAGGCTTGGTGGCCAGCCTGTGACATGAGCAGGAGGTTGTGGAACCTTTAGGAGGTGGGGCCTAATGGGAGGAAGTTAGGTCAATGGGGCTGTGGCCTTTAAGAGGGGATATTGGGACTCCAGCCCATCCCCCTCCCTCTTTCCCTCCCCCCTTTTACTTTCCTGCCACAATGGGGGGAGCAGACTCCTCCCCTAATGCTCCCTACTAGCCTTTCCCCCCATAGCAACAAGGCCAAACGACTTTGGACTGAAACTTAGGAAAGCTAGAGCCAAAATAAACTTTAAGTTGATTATCTCAGTTATTTTGTCCCAGTGATGGCAAACTGAATGAGACAAATGCTGTGGAAATACCTGTACTGATGTAGCAGGTTGTGATCATTGCTGCTGTGATGCTGTTCTTGAGAACAATGGCCTGACATGTTTTATTCCAGAAAGTTCTGAAATTAATCAGAGTTTAGCCCCCTGCCTATATTCTCTTTCTCTTACCAATGACGCTCCCGCATGTTGTCCAGCAGACCTTATCAGAGGTTGTGCAGTAAGATAAAAAAATTTATGAAGATGCCAGTTGCAATGGCACATGCTTATAATTCCAACTACTTGGGAGGCTGAGTCAGGAAGAATCCCAAGTCTGAGGCCAACCTGCGCAACTTAGTGAAACCCTGTATCAAAATAAAAAGTGCTAGGGAGATTGTTGGTAGTGCTCCTGTACTGAAAAGGAAAATCATGAAAGAGACCAAGAGATGAGAGAGGAGAGAAAGGGACATAAAAAGAACTGTGGAATGCACATGTACCAATTCCCTACACTGAATGTTATCATTATGTGTTGCAAATATGTACTAATAAAAACAAAGAGATGCAAGTTTGAGATACTCAAATAAGAATACGACACATTCTCCTAATAGTAAATTCCCTGGGAAAGATTAAATAATAAAAGCCTAAGGGAGTTAATGTCTGCAGTTATTGTTAGTTTTGAAAACAATTAAATTCTAATTTCAAAGTCTGTTGCTCTTGTGCCTGGAAAGTTTATAGGAATTAAGATCCAAAACTTTCCTTCTAATTTCTTCAACTGTTCAAATTAATGGTTGGGTAATGAACAGGATCTCGTGGTAGCTGTAGTCAGCAGAGACTGATTTCCACTAAATTATTGGCTCGACCCCTTTAGGATTCTAAGTAGATTCCAATACTATTGAAGAGATTTAAAAGTTGAGAAAAATACAAAATTCTTTTCAGCACTTGCCCACATCTATGAGATTTAGAACATGATTCAAGCCCCAGGCCTAAAGCGGTATCCCAGGAAACACAGGCTGCCAGAAGACAGACAGAGTGCAGCTGCACATGGCCATACAGGTCCCCAGGACACCACAGATGTCCTAGTCTTTATCCGGTCCCTTCCCCAGCACCCAAAAGGCACCACCTGCAACACTCGGTAGAGCAACTCTCCCAAAGGTCCACAGTAGAGATTTGGGGCTGGCAGACAACAGGAGAGCGATGGAGAAGTCCTGGCTTTTACTACACAGGAGTCTGAGAGCCTATGTCTCTTGTCCTGAGGCCACTAGCTATTTCAGCTCCATTAGGAGAAATCTTACTGTGGCAATGAATGAAGGAATGGAAAGGTAGCATGGTGCCCAACGTGTGTGCAATTCCCTCCTACCCAGCCCTGGCTTCTCCCTCAGACTTTCTTCTGTATTTGCCACCTATCTATTTAAAACTCAAGCCGGGTCTTAGATCTCTTATAGGGCAAGATCGCAGCTGCTTGGCTCGAGATGGGTGGAACTCCACAGCCTGTCCAATGCCTTCCCCCTTTGTCCTGTTCTCTCATCTCTGGTCCCATCAAACGCTTGTGCCCTGCATCCTGTGTGTCCCTGGCCTCCCACCCCATGTTCCCTCTGGCTGGTCCCTTTTCTCTTTTGTAAGTCTGAAAGGTCTCTGCTTGTGTTCAAGGACCAATCCAAACGTCTGCACGAAGTCTCCTGATTCCATCATCTTCACCACATTTCCATTCTTTGATGGTAGTACTTCCGCCCATTTTTCACGCGTGTGTGTGATGTATTTAATCTGTCTGCCTTTCCTCTCACTGATCCATGGGCACCCTGGAGGTATAGAAAGTGCTTTCCACCTCCTGGCATCTATCCTTGAGGTCTGACACACAATATACCTTAATGGTACACGGATTAAAATGCTTGCTCATGTGACTGTGATCATGAAAACAGCAATGATCCTCATGAAACTTCAACTGGCTTACCACACAAATTCCATTACCTCCAAGTTGGCAAATATCCTCTTCTGTGAAATTATCAGGTTTGAATCCAGAATTCTTGACTCTCTTCTGGCTCCAAGTTAGCTGAAATTATGTTTAAGTAGGAGAGACATTGCCATCTAGTGGTAAATTTATTTATTTATTTTTGTTTTGAAATGACTAACTGTTCCTATTTGATGTAATCGTAGCATTTTAAAATAATGTCAGCGGTCGTGGTTGTTATGAAGCACACCATAGCTATGTTATGACCTCACTATTTCGAACTACACAAACATAGACAGTTATTTTAGAAATACAACGAAGATTATGCAGATGGAGAAAAGCTTTATTTTCTAGTAGAGTCTTGGAGAGAGATCCGGGCCCACACTGTCTCTGCTGGCAGTGGTTCTGGGTGCTGGAGACATCATGGTGAATAATCCAGTCCTTCCATCTGTGAGACTTCCTTTCTTGTTGAGAGTGAGACCAGAGAAAGCCCACAAGCCCCAGGCCTAAAGCAGGTATCCCGGGAAACACAGGCGCCCAGAAGACAATTTGATTATAATAAAATAAAGCCGGATGACGTGGGGGGAGGTCAGCACTGGGTACCGCGGGCCTCTGAGGAGAGTTGACCCATGACCCGTGACCTGTGACCCATGACCTGTGACCTGGGACCCATGACTCATGACCGCCATAGCATTTCAAGAGTGCAGAGAGGATGGGCTGGGGCGCTCTGGGGCCTGAGAGCTGTGTGGAAGCAGAGAAAGGGTGGTGTGAGAGGAGACGCAGGCCTGCGAGCTGAATGCACTGGAACATTTTAGGGAGCACAGGAACTCGATCTGACTTAAGGCCCCAAACCCCCTGCTGCCATGTGGCATCTTTCAGTAAAGGGTGATGGTAGTAACGTGGAGATGCGGTCCTCTGAGATATATTCTAAAGGTGGGAGAGAATGAATGTGGGAACAAAGAGAGAGGAGCACTACAAATCAAGTCTGAGTGAAATTTTAAGCCCGAGCCATTTATGGAGCTAGAGGACTTGGGGAGAACATTTGTGGAGGAGGGGTGGAGTGTGCCCCTGGCTTCAAGTGTCAGACAATCTTCAGACTCCTGTGTGGACGATGTTCGCAGCAGGGCCTTTGGGAAGTAATGGGGTCCGATGAGGTCATGGGGGGTCCCCCAGGTGGGGTCGGCATGTTTCTAAGGAGAGGGAGGGAGAGGTGAGCTGACGGCCCTGCTGCCTCTGCATGCAGAGCCTCTCCCCCATCTCGGGGCGGCAGGAGGGCAGAGTGACTTTAGACTCCCCAGCCTCCAGAACCATGAGAACTACATTTCTTTATAAATTACCCAATCTGGAGTATTCTGATATAGCCACACAGTGCAGACTAAGACAAGTGGGTAGCAGGGGAGAAGAATCAAAGCACACATTCACTTATTTGGTATTTATTGAGTGTCTAGGTGCCCGACCTTCTTTTACAATCTGGGGACATTGCAATGAAGAGAACAGACAGAAATCTGTGCTTCTGAGGGACTTGCATTCTCTTCAGAGAAGACAATAAAATAAACACGTCACGTAGATAGTACTGTGGAATGTCTATGTGCCCTGAAGAAAAGTCAGGCAGGCAAGGAAATGGAACGTCACGAGAGTTGACCCAAGGAAGCCCTTCCTGAGCCAGTGACCTGGAGTAAAGACTGCAGGGACCGTGCGAGGACACAGGGATTGGGACCCAGGCAAAGGGAACGGCAAAGTAATAGTCAGAAAACACTATGGCACCTGGGTGGCCCAAGGAGCAGAGGGAACAAAGCAGAGAAGTAAGAAATGAGCCCAGAAACAGCAGGGTGAGGAAGAGAGCACATTGTCTTAGTCTTGATGGCCATTGTCACGGCATTGGCTTTTGTATTGAGAGGACAGCACACAGGCAGGTTTGTGCAGCACCGTGAGCTGGCCTGGCTATTTTTGAACAATAGCGTCTGGCTGACATGTTGAGAACAGACTAGAGAGGGGCAAGAGCAGAACTGGGGAACTCCGTAAAGAGGCTTCGGTGGTAATCCAGGCAAGGCTGCAGAGTGGAGGTGGGGCAGAGAGGAAGCGAGCAGTGGGCTTGGGGATCCTCGGGACACATTATTCCCCGAATCCTATATTACTTTCCCAAGGAGGAAAGAAACATTAGGCATCATTCCAGGTTTTCACTGAAAATGTTTATAATGTCATTGATCCGATCACAATTCTGTTCCTAAATTACAACCAGTTGTGAGAATACCAGTGTAAACATCCTTAGCCATGACCTTTGGTGACTTCATGTCCTATGCAGTATAAAACAATGCAATTCTCTGTGAGTAATGGAGAACTCATGAGCTTGTTTTCTCTTCAGCTATACGATGGAGACAGTGAAGATGATGACTTGGTAGGAACATTTTGTGGTTCCACAGTACCTGCTCCTTTTATCTCTTCTGGTAACTTCCTAACAGTTCAATTTATCACTGACCTGAGTTCTGAAAGAGAAGGATTTAATGCTACATACACTTTCCTGGACAGTAAGTAAATTGACACTTTTCTATGTTATGAAATTTACATCAGTATTTCTGTACTAAAAAGAATGCCATTTTTATTATATCTCAACTCAATGTTAGTTACTAAATCATATCACTAAACACATTTTATTAACTGTGTAATCCGCAGTATAAATTTGGCGCCATCCTTTGTCAAAAATATATACTTAAATCTGTAATAGAATGATGTAACTGTTCGCTTTGGGCCAGGAGGTTAGACTCATGGACATTGGGATGAGACATGAGTGAAATATCTCCTACACTGTTTCTGTCCTCCCCTCTCAGGGCCTTGTGGTGGAATGTATAATGCAACTTGGACCCCCCAAAATGCATCCTCACCCCGTGTACTGGACCCCAGCTTTTCACTCTTCACCTGTACTTGGGTCATCGAAGCACCCCACCATGAGCAAGTCAAGATATCCGTGTGGGAACTACAGCTGCAATCGGAAGACTGTGCCCAGAACTACTTAGAGTTTCAGGACGCACCAGAGGTAACCACAACAGGATGGTGACAGTCACAAGCAGTGTCCTTTTTGCTAATCTCTGTAAAACACCTGACCCAGTTAAGGCATGAGTAAATAAATCCTCCAGGTTCCTTCCGGCATTATCCTTCTCAGCTATCTGCAACGCCCTCCTTTCGGGCCTGTTGAGAAAGATGCATTTGGTCCTGTGGGGCAGGAGCCTTCAAAGTGTCAGATGTCTGCAAGTTACCAGGGCGTCTTGTTAAAAATGCACACTCCAGGGGCCACCCTCTGACACTGATTCCCCTGCCTAGAACCCATGAATCTGCATTTTTGATCAGCATCTCTAATGTTCTGGCAACAGCATCAGTGCTCCATGGATGGGGCCCATGTCTGTAGTTAGTGGGAGCTGTATGTGAGATGAATTGAAAGGATCTATGTGGAACATGGGAAAATCAGCCAGGAGCCCATGAGGGTTCAGTGTAGCAGGGCGATATTCATGGCAGTATGATAAAGGGAGAGAAAAGGGGGAGGGAGAGGAGAAAGAAAGACCTCTTCTGATTAAAAGAGGGAAAAAAAAGCAAATCTTAATTTCCCATTGGGTAGGTTGTTGAAAAGACAGTCAGGACATGAGAATGTGATGTTAACATAAGGCCTAGAAAACTGGGTACAGTCATTATACGGACAGGGATTGATAATGAAAATAATGAGCTTATCTCAGGAACTATGAAACATGAGGGCTCAGCATGGAGAATACCTGGGAATACCTGGGTTGTCTCTGCAGTCTGGGGTGTGGCTATCTGGGGTGTGCTCATTCCAAGAAGGCCGTGTTCAAACCCTGTGTGCCCTCAGTACAAATCCCATCTGTCGTGCTCCGAATTCTCAAGCTCTTCCTCAGTGTAAAGCTGGAGTAGCCTGGTTCTCACATGGCCCTGTCTTGAGAGGAAGAGAAAACTGCAGTTTGTCTGACTCCAGTGTGCAGGCTTCTGCGTAGACACTGAATTTGCTAAGCTTTATGCAAATCTTAGACCCTGGCATTAGTCTCGAGCTCCCATAGTGGTCAAGATGCTTGGTTATCATCGTTCTGCAGGCTAGGAGTTTTCAGGACAAGACTCTTCCCCAGTGGTAGCCTGAGCAGGAACTCATAGCTAAGGGGACAAAACGCTTTGGGTTGAACCTCTTTCCGTTGCCCATTGGTTCACGAAGCTGAGACAGCGGAGACGGGGGCAGACCCCTCAGCTGGGCACACACTGCCATGCGCGGGACCTAAGGCCACGGGAACATGGCAGCCGCTGGACCAGCTTCAAATAAGACCCAGCATTTGTCATGACTGAATAAGGCCCTTCGTCTGAATAAATAAAAGAACAAAGCATTTTGGTTTGAGGAGGGAGAAAAGGGAAGAGCCGATGAGGGGCTAGGAGAAACTGGAATCCTCAAGCTATCTGAGAGTAGAAAGAGAACCGCACGGAGAAGACTGTGAAGGGACTGTGCGGTGCGGGGTAAGATGGATGGAAGGCTGGCCTGGGGGAGGCAACCGGAGCCGAGGCAGGCCGGGAGCCGGGCCCGCTGCAGGTGCCCAAGAACGACGGGGCTCAGAGACACTGACTCAGGCGGCTGTTGGTATCGCGCAGGAATGGACGGGCATTTGGCTGCATTTGCCCCAGGCTTTTGAGAGGGAGGTGAGGGCCCCCCAAGAGAGAGAAGGGCCAGGGGCCTCACTGTAGCACCGGCCGTTTGGGGGGATTCACAGTAGTGCCAGGGCCTCCAGATGGGCTTGCGAGGCAGCAGCGGCTGGGCCAGAGGAGTGGTCCTGAGTTAGCCTCTGGGCTCCAGACCGGGGAAAGAGCTCACGAGGGGACTTGCAGGGAGCCTGGGCAGCCAGCGTGGCTCTGCTCAGAACGAGCACCCGGGCCTTGGCCGTGCTGGGGTAGGACAGGGCAGAGGGCGCTGTCTGCAAGGAGGCGCCTGCCCACGGTTCCAGCAGCAGAACTTTGCCCCCACCTCTCGCCCCTCTGGGAAGGTGGCTATACGTCCATCGCAAGGCCAACAACCAGTCCTGCTGCAGTGCTTCCAACACTAGAGCTAGTTCCCATGGCTGGGTATTTAAGTCATGCTCTCTGTGCAGTTTAGCAGGGCTAGAGCTGTCCTCTCCCGAAGCTGACGCTGACACAATTTGGCTTCCATTTCATTCCAGATCAGCGGAAACCCCGCAATTCAGGTCTGTGGCAGAAATGCATCAAGCGTGCCGGCGCTTTACTCCTCCACGCGCACCGCCGTCCTCGTCTTCAAATCTGACAATCTAAGCTCAAACTCTAGAGTGAGCTTCAACTATCAGATTGCAGGTGAGCCCTGGGGCTTCCACTTATTCAAGAAAATCTGCCGTCCGCCGATTATGGGGAGCAGTCGCTCTCATGACAAAGCTGGGGTCTGCGATGATAACCCATGTCCATGAGATGTGACCTTAACAAGAACCCAAGCCCCACTTAGCACATTACTAGAGCAGGTTCGTGAAGAGATCCAGTGAGTCCAATACTAAGCAAAACGTAATGCAGTTCATTTAAAAATATGCCAGTTATTTCATTAATTACCCACTGGACTGCATGTAGGAGTCACCATCCATATGTTTAAAAAGCTCCACGAAGATAAAATACCTCCATCATATCAGCTGAAAGTTTGCAGTTCAGTGATTTTTAGTATATTCACAAAGTTGGGAGTCACTATACGTTGGGGAATTGTTTTGTAAACCCACAGTGCCTTAAAAGGATTACTTGATTTTATAACTGAGAAGTTTATTTTCAAACAACACTTTAATGTTTATCTTGAAATTGATTAAACAGCCTTTGATTCAAGAAACAAAAAAAGTACTTTTTTTTTCTTTACTAGAAATCAGTAAAAAACAATGATTTTCCAGTGCTATCAACACAAATAATTCACCGAAGGACTTCAACTGAAACCCTCATGCAAAACTCTGTCTGAGACACAGAGGCTTTGTGTATGAGAGAGCCTAAGCTGGGCGTGGTGCTGCACACTTGTCATCAATCTCAGCACTCTAGGAGGTTGAGGCAGGAGGACTGCAAGTTCAGGCCCAGCCGGGCAGCTCAGTGCAGTAGTGACGTCCTGTCTCAAAATAAAAAAGTTTAAGAGGACTGAACATTTGGATGGACTCATTAACTATGAATGTTTTTTCTTTTCTCTAAGATTGCAACAGACACTATCGCCAGGGATTTGGCACTCTGAGGAGTCCCGGGTGGCCAGACAATTACTATGCAAACCTGGACTGCACCATTATTCTCTCCGCCCCACAGAACCACACCATTTCCCTCTTTTTCGACTCTTTCAGCATTGAGAGCGGCCCTGGCTGCGTACATGACTTCTTGGAGGTAAGGTGCATCTGACTGTCCTGTGAGTGAATCCCTTTGAGAGACGACGGGTCGCCTGGCAGTTTTCCCCCTCTTCTCTAGCACCGACAATTCTCCGTGTCCCTTGCCCAGTCCCTGAATTTCTTCACTATTGTGTCACTCCATAAGCACTGACGGGCACCTTGTGGTCCAGGCACTGGGAATAGAACAGAGGAGAAAAAGTCCTCATGGCCCTCACATATTTAGTCCACAAAGACACACGAGGGAGCAGAAAGTCACAGCGTCACGGGAAGGACTAACCCAGTCCCTCTGCCCTGGACACCAACTCAGTTCAGGGACAGCGACGGCTTCTTTAGGAATGGAGATTAGACTGAGTTCTGACCCGGAGTGCAGGTGCTGATCTGAGAGGGTGGCACTGGCTTGGAAAGAGTTTTGCCTGAAGATAAAACTGAGTAATACGCGGTTTGCTGATTTCCCTGAGGGCTGCAGTCAGCTGGGGCATCTGCACTGTTTTCTAAGGGTGTTTCTTTGAGCAAATGTTCTGCAAACTAAAATTAATAATTCTGTCTGACCCAGCGAGTCTCCTTCTAGGTATCCTTCCGAAAGCGTTAATGACATTATTTTGTAAAATCCATGCACACCCATGTTTACAGCAGCACAACGCATAATAACTAAATTTTGGTAGTAGCCTATATTTCCCTCAACAGATGGATGGATAAAGAAAATGTAGTATTTACACATAACGGAGCACTACTCTACCATAAAGAAGGATAAGCTTCAGTCATTTGTAGGAAAATGGATGCAATTTGAAACCACAGTGTTAAGTGAAATAAATCAGACACACGAGCTTCAATATCGCATGGCTTCTTTTATATGAGAACCCCAAAATATAAATAAAAAGCAAAATAAAAGATAGCTACTAGGAAGTTGGGAGATGGATCTTTTGCTAAAAGGAAGGAGACCAAGAGCCAGAGGGAAGGAGGGCAAGGAAGGCAGGGGAGGCGGAAAGAATTCAGATGTGCAACGGCCCTGCACCCAGCCTCCCACTCACCCCCACCCCTCCCAAGGGCACCTTCGAGAGCAGAGCGGAGCTCCCAGGGCTGCTGCGCACGTCCTGGGCCATGCCCAGAGCTGCTGTGCATCACATCCGCCACCCACAGGGCTCACTTGTGTGGAAGGGACGTCGCCGCCTCCTGGCTCACAGAAAGGAGATTCTCTTCATGAGCTCTGCACATGAACAGATCGTTGATCGGGTCTTTATTCTGAAGCTGTGCAAAATTATCTGACCTTTGTAGGATGAGGAGATGTGTGTGGCTGGCTTCTTTTCCTCTGGGGTAGGCTTCATTTCAGCTCCTTGCTTCTCTGTGAACAAAGCCTCTTTCCAGCCCCTTGTGCCTCTGACCTCCAGCAGCCTTAGTCCTTTCTTGCCTCCAGCCCCTGCCCAGCAAAGCTCACCTGGACCTGTGTTCCTGCCGTCTGACTCCTGGACTTGTGTTTCCTGACTCCAGCACAGGTCTCTCACCAGGATTTGGCTTCCCCGGGATTCCTGATGTGGTTTCCCATTCCTGGGAAACTCTGCACAGAATCTACCAAATCCTCCGTTACCACACAGCACAGTGAACTGCAGGGGAAGCGCGTGCCTTGTTCACAGGGACACCTGCCATAGGGGAGGCAGGAAAGGGGCAGATGTGGCAAGGAGGAAATGGAGAGAGAACTACAGCAGAAACACAGCGCCAGCCAGACCGACGTCCTTACCCACCGTGGAGATCTCAGAATGTATAGGAAGTGTTACACAGAAACCAGGAGAGAAGGGGCGTACAGAGAGGGCTAGAGTAATCCTTTTAGGTCAGAGAGGTGACATTCGCCATTGCCCACGGCCTGCTGGGAAGTGAAGACTTGCCTTCTAGCACTGGTGGGTATGAACCATGCCTCCTGTCTGCCGTTCTCTGTTCTGTGGAATGGATCTGAAACCTCCTGTCCAAGAAGCAAAGGAAACGACAACATAGGCCTGTAAAACGTGGCTGAGTCTGCTTCAGGGCAGGAAGGATGTGGCCACCGTGTCTAGGCAGCCACGCTCGGAAGCCTCAGCCTTCCACTGCCTTGACTCTGGTGGGAACGGAAATCCCTCACGAAGGTCTCTGCCTTGGCAGCAGCAAAGGCTGGGTCCTCAGAGCCTTCAACGCTCCTTTCAGGGTCTTCTGCGGTCCAGAGATGCCTTCTGCTCTCAGTGGTTTCATTCCTCCTGTGCAGGAGAAAGCAAATATGACAAGCTGCTAGCAACTCCACAGGTCGCTCCTCCTTTCAGAGCCAAAAGCATTTTAAAAGAGCACCGGGGAAAGAGGTCGGCCCCGTCTACTGGTAGAGGACTTGCTGCCTTGTTCTGCCTGCCCAAAGCCCCTGTGTTTAAACATCTGACAGAATAATGCAGATAAGCAGGAGAACACTGTTCTCCCCGAGGCTGCAGGGGACCTGTTCAGATCAGCCCAGCCCAGCCCGCCAACCTCAGCACTGCACCTCCCGAGCAGCTCTGGGCCAACTCTCATTAGAAAGGGAATGGAGGAACTTCTCCGATGTTGACTGTACCCTACCCACACGGAGCTGGGTCTCCCCAGCCTTGCCTGTGTCACACTCCTGAGACGCCTCAGGCGCGCTGAGAAGACCCAGTGGGATCGGGGCTGGAGGACGAACCGAACCGGAACCGGCTGAACTCCCAGGGTGCTTGAACCCTCCCTTCCCCCCCAGACGACTCATTTCCTGTTTTCACACATCTCCTCCAGGCTGGGAGCTGAAAAGCTACGCAGCCCCAGAATGCGTTCTTAAAATAGGTTAACAAAATTCAGAAATTTTATAGATTCCTTGAGTTGTGTCATTTTTCTGCTGTAGAAATCTTTTAAGGAACTTTATACATTTTGTACATTGTAACTTTTTCCCACAGTCTTTCTAAGGCTGAGTAACTTGCAATGGGAAACACACACACACACACACACACACACACTATAATGAATAAAGTGCAATAGTTAACTGGAAACATCTAGCGATACTGCCCCCCCCCTTTATACATTCACTTTAATCACACCCTGCAAAAGGCTAAGTACTAATAACAGCACCAACTACTGCATAAAAATGTGCCACGGTGGGCCAGGGATGTAGCTCAGTGGTGCCACCGCCTGCCTCGAGGAAAGTCCCGAGTTCCATCCCCGGTACCAAAAATAGAAGTGCCATGGTGTTGTGATTGCTGAAGCTTGAAGGCATTTCTGAATCCAAGCGCCAGTGGTCTTCGATCTACAAATTGAACATTTCTCCCTTTGCAAGGACAAGCGACTTTTGTATGTATTCTCAGAAAATCCTTTGTTCCTAGGCACATAAAAATACAAAGCTTTTGCCCCCCCAAAACCCTGGTTATTCAAAGTGCCTCGCATCTTAATGTACAGTGATGATAAGTGGAAGGAGAGAGTGACAGCAATAACTGATGCATCATTTTTTTTTAAGATAAGAAATGGAAGTGACAGTAGCTCCCCACTGCTCGGGACCTACTGTGGAAGTCTGCTGCCGGACCCCGTCTTCTCTCAGAGTCCCACACTGTATCTACACTTCAAGAGCGACAATTTCATTTCCAGGAGTGGGTATGAAATCACCTGGACCTCATCCCCCTTTGGTAAGATATTTGCACTTGGTAAGCTGTAGTAATGGAGGGGAGAAAAGCATGAGACGTCAATAGAAAAAGACAAAGCGAGCTCATTTTCTGCAGTGTCTTTGATGATACTCTGTTAAAAGTAGAGCTTTTTAACAACGAAAGTAGATTCTTCCTAATTCTACATTTCTTATTTCTATCTATAGAAACTAATATATATTTACATAGAAACCAGAAATGAAGCCTAAATCTTTAAAATTTCTATATAGATTCTATTTTGTGAGATTTTTGACTTCTGTTTCGATCATCAAGGCAGCTGTCTGAGAATTTAATGGAAAAAAAAATGACCACAAAAAAAGCCCAGTGGCTACCGCTTTCTTGTGTATATATGAGCAGCTGCGTCTCCCTGGCCGGTGTGGGTGTGGTTTCCGCAGTCCTGGACGCTAATTGCGTTTTCAGGGTGTTGTCCTTGTGAGTATTTGTTCCACTGTTTCTTAAAGAGCTGAGGAAAATTTAAGCCCTATCAATATATGTAACTTGAGAGGAACAGTACTAGAATGAAATGTCCAAAAGATGACCTTCAAAATCAAAGTGATAGGGAGGAAGTACTCTACACATGCTAAGGGTGAGGAAGAGGGTCCTATCCAGAAGGCAGTCCTGGAGAGTGGGATCTTTGTACTTAAAGGAAACTTAGCGATGACCTCCAAGGCCCTCATCTTACAAATGAGGAAGTAAAACACCAGAAGAGTGAGTGTCCCAGCATGCGCAGCTGGACTGGAGTGGACGGGGTAGGACGCCAGGCCAGGTGCTTTTGCGCTTTGTCAGCTTCTTCTAGATGCCCATGGATACCCAGTCTAACTAATGACAGCTCTGGCATGCAGAGGAACAAGTAACACTGGTACCCCAAAAATTCTGACTTTATGTCAGTCTTAGAGCTGTCAGGTATCATCTTAGTGAAGTCACTTTTATTGTAAAAGTGTATTTTATTGTATCAAAAGCTGCAGTAGCAGAGTCTCCATTCAGCCCAGAATTTCACTTTTACCATCAAGTCAGCGCACACAGTGTGCTCTATGCCAGGGTTCCACCTCACCCCGGAAAGAGTGGCCATCATCAAGAAATCAGCCAATAACAAGTGCTGGCGAGGCTGCAGGGGCAAAGGAACCTTCTGCACTGTGGGTGGGAGTGTAAACTAGGACAGTCACTATGGAGATCAGTGTGGAAATTCCTCAGAAAACCAAAACCAGAAATTGCATTTGACCCGGCTGTTCCCCTTCTAGGGATCCTCCCCAAAGAGTTAAAGACATCGTAGTACAGTGATACTTGCATACCCATATTCATAGCAGCACAACTCATAATAGCTAAATCTTGGAAGCAGCCTGTATTTCCCTCAACAGATGGATGAATAAAGAAAACGTGCTGTTTACACCCAATGGAGTACTACTCTGCCATAAAGAAGGATAAACTCAAGTCATTTGTAGGAAAATGGATGCACGTTGCATCCAGAGTGTTGAGGGAAATAAATAAGACCCACAGGCTTACCTATCGCATGGTATCTCTGATATGAGAACCCCAAATTATAAAAGGGCAAAAATTAAAAATAGATAATAGGAAGTGGGGAGGTAGATCTTTCTCAAAGGGGAGGAGACCGCCGGATGGAGGGAGGGAGAGACGGGAGTTCAAGGACGTGAGCTGGGCTATGCACCCGGCCCACTCCAGCCCAGGGACGGGTCATGTACGCAAACGTGGGCCAATAAAAAAGGGAAAGCCGCCTGCCTCGCAAGCGCAAGGACCCAAGTTCGATCCCCGGTACCAAAAAAAGGAAAAAGCACTCAGGCAGCTTGACTTCCTCCGCCTTTCCCAGTCTAGAGCTTCCAGAGGGCAGCTGCCTGCAGAGGAGAGCCAGGGCTGGGGTGGGCGGCCCCAGGGCGTGGGCTCAGTGTGCACGCGCGCCCTCCCCGCAGGCTGCGGCGGGATTCTGCGCGGAGACAGCGGCTCCCTCGCCAGCCCCGGCTACCCCGGTTCCTACCCGAACCACACGCACTGCGAGTGGGCCCTCAGCGCGCCCTCGGGCCGGCCGCTCTCCGTCAGCTTCTACCTAGTGAGCATTGACGACCCGGGCGACTGCGCGCTCAACTACCTGGTGCTGCACGACGGGCCGGACGCCACGTTCCCCGCCGCCGGGCCCTACTGCGGAGCGGTGAGTGAACCCGCTGTGCGGGCCGCTGCCCGCCGGTAAACGCTGACGGTAGCCTAGGTCTGCGGAGGCGAGGTGCAGGGCAAAGCCTTGGACAGGTCGGTTTGCGACTTTGTCCGGGCTCACGACTGCCACCTGGTGGACGTGGCCTTCACTTACAACTACTGGCTCCCCAGCCAGACTGCTGCAGAGTCCAGGTGGGACGACTGACATCGACATCACAGACTCAGTTTCCACCCACAGCTCCGGGATCCGTTTCCCGGGCAACAGTCACAGCGTGTTGCATTTAAAAGCCCCCGAAGCGCTCTCTGCGCACCTCCCACGACTGAATACTTACTATGTCTATTTCTAGAGAGACTAGAACTACTGACAATTTGGACACCTGGCTCCATTTCATTTCTACTTCTTGCTGAAATTCTTTGAAACAAGTTAACAAGTAGTTTGCCTTTGTAAAGTTCTAGTAATTGACCCTCCCCAAACATCAATTTAGAATTTGCCATTCACCTAACGTACAGGCATCAGTTCTTCTCATTTTAAAAGAGCTTACAGAGCTACCCAGCACCGTGTGCCTGCTGGTGAGAAGCTATGTCTTAGTTACTTTTCTTTCATTGCCGAGACAAAATACCTGACACACAAAGTTAAAGGGGGAAAGGTTTATTTAGCTCACAGTTTGTAGAGGTTTCAGTTCATAGTCAGCTGGCTCCAAGGCAGGGTGGCATGGCAGAGGGGCATCGCAGAGGGGCATCACAGAGGAGAAACAGTTCATGGCAGGCAGAAGACAGAAAAACAAGCAAGCAACAGACAGCCACAGCTCTTTCTCTCCCTTCTATCTTATCCAGGCTACTTATGGCAGGTGGCCCTCACACCCTTAATCCTAATATCCTCGAGCCTAGCATTGCACCATGAATCAATTTCAGCTTCACACACTCTAGATCCAGCCACCTCGGAGAAAAGCCTGCATGAGGCTTTAGGGAGAAATCTAGACACAAACCATAACGAGCTGTTTCTAATCATCCTGCTCTTTCCTCACTTGCCCATTTCTAATCTAATTGAACAGAATTCTATTACTGGAAATCTAGAGAATTTTTTAAATATATTTTGTAAATTTGATAAGTGCCATGTTCCAAAATAGCAGAAAATAGATCAATTTTTCTAAAACCTTGGGAATTGTCCTACTATACTCTTCCCAGCACCTTCCCTTGAGTATATTTACATGTGCACGCACATCTTTATACTGCTAGGTGGAGTGCTTTCACTGATCAATATGTCTATTGTGAGCATCTTCCCAGGCCAATAAAATTACTTAACAAAGCCCCTTGTTTGGAAGTTTGGGCCGAGTGGACCTTTCAGTACTGCAGACAGCGTGGCACCTTTATCTTTATACAGAGTGATTATGGGATAGAAGCTTTGGTCGCGGCACCACTAGGCACCACGTCACTGTTAACACCCAGGAGGTCACAGGAAGGAGACCCCAGGGGAGGTGCCACATCCTGGAAGCTGCATCTTGCATACTTAATGAAATTTATTAATCTTTCAAAAGAGAGGCAAAGAGACAATTTTAGCAGTATCATTATTTTGTACTTGTGGGGTGCGTGTGTGTGTCAGCCCACTGTACCCGCATGGTGACAATCCTATAAGGTGGGAAGCTCATGCACTCAGGCACAACCTGGACCTTGCTGATGAAAGGAAACTGAGACTGAGAAGGTACTGCTGGCCATTTGAACTGATGTCACGTTAAGTCCGAGTGCCTAGCTAGACATGTCAGATGTGTCAGCCTGTTAGTCTTCACCGTACTTTCTGTTTCACATTTTCTTTATTAACGTGGCTATGTTTGTGCCTGTCATCCCTGCTCTTCGGCAGGCTGATGCAGGAGGATCGTTGAACCCACAAGTCCAAGACCGCCCTGAACAGCGTAGTGAGATCACATCTCAGAAAAAAAAGTAGACACAGTTTCACGTGCAATTCTATTTTTTCATAAATGAAAGGTATCACCAATTTCCTTAACATATAAATGTTAAATATAAAGAAAGTATAAATATGAATGAAAAATCATGAAATATAATGTCAGTTTACATGAAGTAGAAGCAGACCTTCCCACTGCGAATGTAGATACACAACCAGATGAGGATTCGAAGGTGTTTCATGTCATGATAAAATAAATGGCTTTGTTCACAGGGAAATCCCATGTCACTTTCAGTTTCAGAATCAGAACATGTAGAAAATGAGAAAATAACAGGACATTTTCATTACCCTCGAAAGAAACCCTGTGCCCATCTCCCCTCACAGTCCACCCCTTGAAATACTCTTTTGTAATGTATCTATACTAATTCCTGCCAAATTGACTTCCAGAAATGCATGCAGGATCACTTATAAATACTATGAAACTTTATGCAGTGCTCATTTTCACCACATTTGTAGAAAACTATTTAAATTTTTAAAACATCTAATGTGTTGCCTTTTTCTGAATTACAGGACACCAGCATAGCTCCCTTTGTGGCTTCCTCAAGTCGGGTCTTCATAGTATTCCATGCTGAGTACTCAACGCATCCGTCTGCATTCAGGCTAATGTGGCACAGCTGAGGGCCTATCTGGGTTCCTCCACACTGCAGCCCCATCCAGGGACTGTCAGATATCACATGGGACAGGACTCTGCCACCTCGCCCTGGACCGTGCCTGTGCCGCTGGGCAGAAGTTGAACTTTTGTGAATTCCACCAGAGAATGTATAAATCAACATTTGCACAATTTTTGAACACAGACTACCTTCTTTCACCATGCCTGTGTATAGCATTCTTTCCTCTAATATTTTGAGCTGAAGTCCAAAAATTCTTTAAAGTTTAAAAGTGATCATGAAATATGTAAGTTTTTAAAAATTAATAAAAGTACGATTTTCATTGTGTGTGTCAGAGTTAATGTACATTATTGAAGTGTTTACAGTTACACTTTTTTACTTCTTAAAGGTCATTAAAACTTAGTCTTTCACTGTGGCTCAATATAGGTAAGTCTGACGTGACCTCCAAATTCTCTCACTTTATCTTCCACTTGTCTTATGTTTTCCCTGCCTGTGCTGAGTCTTTCCCCATTTACTCCGAGGACCTTGTGCTCACCTGGTTAGTGAATTTCTCTGTGTTCTTCACTCACTACCCCATAGCTCTAGAACATTTCCTTTACTTTCCCTGGGCTTGCCGTCTTCTCTGTACTTCTAAATACTAAGGACATTTAGTTCAGCCTGAAATCTCATATGTAGGAATTTTTCCCTTTTATGATGTGTGTATGTGCGCACGCATGCATGCGTGCATGCTTGAGTGCGTGTGTGTGTGTGTGTGTGTGTGGTACTGGGGATGGAACCCATGCCATACAGGCATTCTATCACTGGCCTACACCCAATTTAGCTGTGTCTGTTTCCTCTCCTCTTCTCAAACTGTGTGTTCCTTGAGCACACAGTGGAGCATCCCCACAGTTGTGAAACATGAACTGGATTCCCTGCCTCAACTGCTGAACCGTCACTGTGCTCCTGCTGTGTCACCCTCTTCGCCAGTTTTAGATGGGTCACAAGGAGGATGCGCTCCCCATGATGAGGATGGCTTGGAGTCAGCCCAGTGACCACCGCAGCAGCAGAGGGATGGCAGCGAGTCCTGCTCAGTGAGGCTATAGATAGACACCAGCAAGGAAGGAAGAGCAGCAGGGGAGAAGCAGGCATCAGCTTTGGGCAGGAGCCCGCAGTTCCCTAAATCCTCGGAGGCCCATTTATTTTCAAAATAACTTACTCAGCCTGATAACTAAACATGTTATCACTGAAATTTGATACTATATATTTTTTAGGTTGCTTCCCCCTCAAAAAAGCAATGTATTCCTTATGTTTTTCCCAAAGAAAAATATAATCCTTAATCTATATCATAATGCAAGTGTTCAAATTTTTCTCTAAATTTTCCTCTTGTGTCTGTGCTAGTGCATAATATTGTTATTCCCATCATTGAAATGTTACTGGACAAAATGTATATATTACATTTATTATAGTAAAATAATTTTTCATGCTTCTCGTATTCTCCATTATACTTTAAAATCGTACAGTGTATGTTATTATGTATATTTTACATAACTTCCTCTTTTCACGTGTTTGCTTCATCCTCAGCCCACTGCTATAATAGATGAGCATTCAGTGTATTCTTTTTGCACAATTTAAAAAAACTTTTTATTTTGAAATAACATAGATTCACAGCAAATTGAAAGGCCTTGCACTACAGAGTGGTGATTCTTCATCCAGTCCCTCCCAACTTTCCATAAAACGTTGTGATTGACAGGTTGTCAGGAAAAGGGGAAGATCTATTGTCTTATAGTGCTAAATTACTGTCTAAAAGAATCAACAATTTACATTTCTACCACCAGTCAAAACTCTGCCACTTCTAGAAAAATCTTCAGGTGGAAGCCAGAAGTTATTTTTAACTAGCTAATTCATTTCAAGAAAAATCCCCGAGTGTTTTGAATTTGATAAACCCCTAGAAATAGGCTAACATTTATCATTTATATTGAGGAGAAATTCTGTCAGAGATTCTTAAACACTTCAAGTGGTGACAGCAATGCATTAAAGCAATTGTAGGGTCCACTGGGGCCAAGGAATCTGTGGAATAAACAGCACAGGTCACCCACCCAGGAAGCTGGCCCTGCTTTCTGTGTTACTCAGATTTGGGACTTTGGGACACATTTCTTTAAGAATTATATTCAAGAACTGGGGATTTAGTTCAGTGGCGCTGCACTTAGTGCAAGGTCCTGAGTTTGATCCCAGGTACCGGAAAAAATAAATAAAAAGATTTTGGGGCCGGGGATGTAGCTCAATGGTGCCACACTTGCCTGGCAAGCACAAAGTCCTGAGTTCAATTTCCACTACCAAAAAAAATTATATTCAAAATGAGCCCAATAAATATATTTATATATTTATGTCACGTCATATACGTATCCTTATATATGCATGTGTGTGTACCAGTTTATCAGAACAAGTGTAACTATTATGTGTTCCAAACATATATTGATAGAAGATAATAGCTACGAGGTTGTGATGTAAGAAGAGATACTATCTGTGTCTCTCCCGCATTCCTAGCACAGAGCTCCTAAAGCCCTTGCAATTGTCTGAGTGCTGAGGTGCTAGGTGCATGTTCTGATATTTGGTCTTTGACCTCAGTTCCTGACAGAGCTCCCAATACCCCAGAATTTCCTGGGTGATAAGAGCACCTTTAGTTGGAACGAGGTGACTCGTGGGGATTCCAGGATGGAGACTGGTCATAGAAAGACCAAGCTATGGTGAGAAGCGGCTTGGGATGTCCAAGCCCACCCTCTGTCCTCCAGCAAGGGGAGAGGGGCTGGATGTTGAAGTATAACTGACCATGCCTGTGTGGTGAGGTCTCCATAAAAATCCCCGAAGTGCGAGGTCAGAGAACTTCCTTGGTGGTGAACACATCCACATTCGGGTGGTGGACCCCAACTGTAGCCTGCACTCAGGATTCCCAAGCTTTGTCCTATGTACCTCTGCCTCTAGCTGTTCATATGTGTCCTTCATTATATCCTTTATTCATATAATAAACTAACAACTGAACTAGAGGAAGAGGTCATGAGAACTCCATTTATAGCAGGTCATCAGAAGTGCTGGTGACAACTCACTAAGTACTTGCGACTGGCATGGAAGACTGGGCAGTCTTGTGGGACGGAGCTCTTTCCCATGGGATCTGACTTTAAACTGCAGGGGGATAGTGCCAGAATTGAGATACACTGTAGGACAGGAAGCTGGTGTCTGCGGGATTGCTTGGAGTGTGAGGACGTGCTGAGAACTGAGTGTGTGAGTGCTACAGACAGCTGAGCTGGGTAGAGATGCTCTAGGCAGTCAGACAGGGCTGGGGCCTCCAGGGAGTCAGTGCGGAAGATGAAAACATCACAACTGTGGTCAGAGGTGCATCTGTTGGAGCCTAGGTCTCAAGATAAAGATGAAATGACCAGGCCTACATGCTTCCCAAGGATGAGATAAGTGGTAACACGTGGTCTAATGAAGTCTAGATAGACGTCAGTCACCCCGGCGGGCGACGGAGACCTCCAGGCCATTCTTTCCTACAGAAGTTTCTTGTTCTTTCCGTGTGCGCTTGCTACGTGACCTGCTTCCCCACTGGATCAGTATTAGCTAGGCGGCTATACTTGTAATCTTATCGGTCGATCATAGTCTTCTCCCACGTTGTACCCACCTCGTGATTTTGCTCTGTAAAACTTCCCCTGTGAAGTAGGGTCTCTGCCAACCCACTAGGCTCCCTCCAGTCTCTCAGGAGCTTAAATCTCCCTCACTCTCTCAATAAATACTTTCTACTCTTAACCTCTCTTGTTCATTAGAACTCATTTTTCAGTTTCGAGGAACATGAATGCAGCATATCTGACATCTAGCAGGTTGGGAGTTATATTATCTCCCCTATATTATTTGGAGGTCCTGTATCATGAGTAGCCAAAGCAGTTCGATTTTTCCTATTTCAGACAGGAGTAAAGACAAATTTCTAGAAAATTCAGGTACTGAATGGGAGCCTGCTGACAAATGAAACAGAAAGAAATTGCCGCCCCAAATAACTTGCCGAAGGAAAGGCAGCAGGGTTGGGAGCTGCTGTTCCAGTGCCGCCTGCATGGGGGGCTGGCAGGTGTGGAATGAGAAGGTGGGTGGGAAGTAATGGAACTACGTTAGCTGGCATCACAACCACCATCTTCCACAGGAAACTGTTCTGTCCTCTAAAGAACGGTAAACAGGGAAACCAAATGCTGACCCCAGAGGGCAACAAATACACATAAACAGGGAGGAAAGAATCCACTGCAAGTATTCAGAAAAATCAGTTCCGGTCTTCAGTTCAAACATAATAGGGCAGCCAAGATCAATTAATAACAGGAAGAATCCTAGGAGCATAAAGTAGAAAAGAACTAAATAAATGTCTTGGTTACCTTTCTCCTTCCTGAGACAGAGGAGACCACCCCTTCATGTGGAATCGGACAACTATCAGTTAATTGTGTTATTGGGCAACTATGGGTTAACTAGGTGACTATGCTCTTTGTAGAATGTACCTGAGTAAACATGACAACTTCTGTAATCGCTCACCAAAAGAGCGTAAGGGACTCAGAAAGTCCTGCCAGAACTCTTAGTTTTCCCCCTTTTTACTGTTCTGTTTTGTATAAATCCTGCTTGCTATATTCCCAGGGAAACTCCAGTGAGATTAAGCCTCATAGATATAAAAAGAGGTATACAAGAAAGCGCAAGCTTCTATTTGGGGTTCTTGAGACTGACAGGAGTCACCCTCTGAGCTGCCGGCATCATTACAAGCCGCTTTTTGCTTATCTTTGTGTTAAAAAGTTATCTGTGCAGGGGTCCTCACTGTTTCCTACTCCAGGACAAACTACCCAACACTCAAAGTTAAAGGAGGAAAGGTTTATTTAGCTCAGTTTGTAGAGATTTCAGTCCATAATCAGCTGGCTCCAAGCCAGGGTGGCACATGGCAGAGGGGCAACAGTTTATGGTGGCAGAAGACAGCAAAAGCAACAAAGGATCTTCGAAGTCTTTTATCCCATCTTTCTGCATCTTTTATCTTATCCAGACTACAGGGATTAGGGTGGTGCCAAACCAATCTGTGGACTGATTTAGTAACCACATGCCCTTAATCCCAGCATCACACAATCTAGATTCAGCCACCTCTGAAAAAGCTTATGACTGCAGGAGGCTGGCGGGGGGGGGGGGCATAGTCACAAACCATAACAATAAACATGTGTGAGAAGGGACCCTTGAAGAAAGTAATTTAGTAAACAGAAAAGGGGCATAAAAACCATCATCCTCAGAGAGATTTGAGAAAAGAGAGCATTCGTGAAATAAAAGCAGTATTCTAGTAAAGAAAGAAGGCTAGGGCTCTAATCTAATATAATTAGTGTCCTTGTGGGAAGAGGAAGCAGCATCATCTACACAGGGAAAAGCATGTGAGGATCTAGAGTAGCAGCTGTCTTCATGTCAAGCAGAGCCCCCAGGAGAAATCAAATCTGCTAGCATTTGATCTTGGACTTCCAGCTCCCAGAACTTTGAGGAAATATATTTCCATTGTTTTAGCCACTCAGTCTCTGGTATTTTCTTGTAACAATCCTAAAATTTTCACAGGGTACTAGTGCTTTCAACCTTTGTAGTTGAAATGGATGAAACAGGACAAATTATCAACTTTTCAAAAAGCATTTCTGCTTTAAAAATCCTAATGATTCAAGAAATGGATATATAAGAGAATGTCAACTAGTAAGTAGAAATGAAATGAAATTAGAAAATCATAAGTGGATGCTAATATTAATTTAAAAAAAGGTGAGAAAAGGAATTTTTACACCATCCTGTAGTATCCCACCCACATATTACTTTTAATTATGAAGGGAAAAATAGCAACTTTATGGTGAATAAACCTGGCAGACACCTCCTTAATCAAGTGATCAGAACTCACATCACCGATCTCAAGAGAAAACAGTGTTATCTCTACCTTGAGTTCACGGAAAAAGGCCTATCATTTTAGTGGTATTTCTCCAAATTTCATAACCCAAATCTATCACAAGGAAACCTCAGACGAACCCACTGTGAATACCATTCTACAAAATATCTGGCCTGTGCTCATAGATAATATCTAGTTCAAGGATTAAGATAGCCGAGGAACTGTTCCAGATCAAAGAAGACTAATGTGAGCATATTTTCATTTGGAATGTTCCTTAAACAAGAAATCTCACATTTCACATTCAAGGGTACTGATTTTTCTTTCACCTAGGTGGCTCGGAGCTTGTATATGTGTGTGTGTGTGTGTCTGTCTGTCAGCCTACCTCTCCTTCCATCTATCTGGGCGATACCAGAAGGACTGCCTTTCTATCGATCCTGTTTCATGGTATGTAATTGTCTCTAGGCACAAGTTTCGGTTGAGAGGACAGAATTCCTATTACTGAGTGATATGACTGGAACTGCCTGAGGAAACAGCGAAGCAGAGCCCAGTTTTGTCAGAATTAAAACTTTGGTTGCCTTTTGAAAAGGAAATTGGAGATTTCTGGGAGCCCTAATTTCATGTTTCAACAGATACAAAAGTCAACTACGGCTTTTTGAGTGATCTGGGTTTCACTTGTAGCTTCTAACTCTGAGGGGGGATTCTAAGTGCTCAAGACCAAAGATCTGGTGCAAAACAGCCAGCAGCTTCTGACAAGAAGCTTAAGAGTTTCAAAAGTACGATTTTGAGCTGAAACCTACAGATACAGAGAATACGACTCATTCTATAAGGTTCCTTCCTGGGCAAGGACTGATAAAGGCAAAATTGCACAGAAGTGACTAAGGATAGCAACTTCTGGTAGGTGGAACTGCAGTTAAAGAAGGAGAGCAAGGAGGTTTCCCAAGACCCACCCTCATCTACGACCTTTTTCCTTTTTCCCCCGCTGAGGTGCTCCAAACTTCCCCACTTCCGCCCTCAACACCTCGACCTTCCATTAATTGACTGAGCATGCGCGCACCTCTGTCTAAATCAGCATCTCACATCCGAGAGAGACGGGCTGACCTCGTTGTGGGGCGGAGCCTCGGAGCCGAATCAGGGATGTGATTGGCTGGCCTCGGGGTTCGCATTCTTTCATGGGCGGAGGCTCTCCCTCCAGCCGCGTTTAATCGACTGTTCTCCTAATTTGGGAAGTGTCGCGTGCGCTCCGCGTGCGCCTGCGCGGAGCGGAGGGACAGGGCGTGTTCCGAGTACCGGACGGGTTTGGCATCCGCGAGCGCCCCGCTGCCCGCCGCGCGTCCGCCGGATCCCCGGCTGCCCTGCTGGGTGAGTGGGGCCACTGCTCCCGGGTTTGCTCCCGTGCGCGGCCGAGACCGGGCGGGACCCTCCTGCCCCTGGCCGCGCCCCTGGCAGCGATGCCGCCCAGGCAGAGTCGGGGCGCGGCCGCCCGAGGCTCTTAGCTCTCGGCCGCTGCCTGCCCTCCTGCCTTCGCCCACCTGCTCTGTTGTCGTTCGGTGCAGAACATGTCCAAGTCTCTGAAGAAGTTGGTGGAGGAGAGCCGGGAGAAGAGCCAGCCGGAAGTGGACATGAGTGACCGGGGCATTTCCAGCATGTTGGACGTCAGCGGCCTGTGTGAGTGCTCGGGGGCCTTCCGCCTGCCCCAGGGGCTGGGAGGGTTGGAGTTCGCCCGGGGCCGCCGGGCCTCCCCGAGCCGCGGTGCTTCAGGTCGCACCCTTGGCTTGTCAGCGCCGCCTGCCTGGCGCGTGGCTCAGAAAGTTTGCAGTCAGACCGTGTCTGGTCCACACAGAAGGAGCGAGAGCCGGCGATCGGAACCGCGCGAGGCCTTGGCCGCCGTGGCCCCTCCGCTGCGTGGGTCTGTATGGGTGGGGCTTCCACCTGTTCCCCTGATGGCCCTCATCCTTCAAGTGGGAGGTCAAGTTGGAATCCTTCTTCCTTTCTCTTGGTACAGTCTTTGTTCAAGAACTCACCACGCACACAAGTTACATGATGATAAGAGTGCTTGTGACCATTTCTTGACTCCTTACCTATTTCTGGGTCTTTATTCTAATTTGATTCTCGCTTCCTTAGCTTTTTCTTGTACTGCAAGTGATGGCTTCCTGACCAGCTGCGTTATCTCCAGTCTGAGTGGCCAGTTCACTCACTTTGTTACGTTAGCTGTTATTCTCCATAGCACCCATTTTGTCCCGTTGCTGCTTTCTTTAAAACCAGGCATCACAAACTCACATCCCTGCCGGTGAAGGTGGGCATGGCATGAACTCCATCACGGGTGTCTGCCTGAGTGGGGCAGCTCCAGCCTGAGCTACTCAAACCCAGGGAGTTGTTACCATGTGTTGCCCGATTTTCTTTTGTTAAGGAGCCAAGAATCCAGATTGTTACAGAAATTTCTTCATTTTGAAACATTACCAACTAATTCCAACATTTGAAAACCACTTTCTGAGTGAAATAAAGCACTTCGCCAGGCTGATTGTGTTGTGACTTCAGCTTGGATCTTCTCCTTGAAACGTGTCTACTTGTCCTTTACTAACAGCACTGCCCAGGTTCCCAGGCGTCAGGTGCGAGGCCTTTCTAAATCTGACCACAGCCTTGTCCCTGAACCCCGTGTGCACAGCGCCCACCCCCCCCTCCCCGCCAGAGCGTCCTCCTTCAGATCCCTGTGCCTTTGCCATCGTTGTGTTCCCACCTCCCGCACTCTTCTCACCGGAAGTCCTTTTGCTTCTGTCCAGAATACTGAGCTGCCACAGCGCGTAGAAGCCTTTCTGTGCGCAGCTGACAGAGTCACCGCCTCCTGCACTTGGACACGCCTTGCTTTTCCTCAGGTCCACAAGTCTCTTCCTGACTGGGAGACTGAGCGTTGCGCAGTGTTCCTCTTTACACTCTTTACATCGGTTCCCGACACACAGGGGGGCTCCCACTTGTCTGATGAACGAAGAGTGATAGAGGAGGCTTCCCAGTCTGTGAAGTGCAGTCCAAGCTGTGGAGCAGAAGGGGAGAGGCATCCCAGTGACCCTGAAGGGTGATGGGTCGCTTGGCAGGCGTGGGGGATGGAGTTTCCGGGGAATTCCTGCTTTGTGCCTGGGACATGTTTGGTGCCCATGCTCTTGGTCCAGTCGGCGCAGGGAAAGGGCGTGACAGGCTGCAGATGACTTGCGTTCGGGGACCACGATGGACTCACTGTCATTAACTTGGGCTCTGTGTTAATAAGCACGTCCACCTCCCTCCTGTATGCTGGTCGCTTGCATTAGAGGGGGGCACAGGTCTCTGGCACGGACTTGGCAGCTGAGAATCGGGGCAGGCTCCACACTGCCCCGACCCAGCTGTGATCGAGACCTTTCCCGGGTCCCTGTTGCTGCAGAGGAAGGCGAGGGTGAGGAGGAGGAGGAGGAGGCACCTCACAGCTGCACTTGGGCCCCCATCCCTGTCCCTCTCCCTTACAGCACCCTTTTTCTCAGGGCCTGAAGAGGAGTCTGCTCTTAGAGCAGCTTGAGGCGCCTCAGCTTTTGAAGAGGCTTCCTGTAGTATTTGTAAGCGGTGGGTGTGGCTTCGCCGCCATCTCTGTTCAGCACCATTATCTCTGAAGGACGGGCTTTCAGGACAGAAGCAGAGATAGCCACTTGCTTCCTGAGAAGAGCATTTCCAGTACAGCATTGGGCAGCGAAAAGCAAGATCATCCTTCCGTTTTCCCAGAGAAGTAACTAAGGGAGAGAACGTGTTGGGAAGTTCGGTGGCAGGGAACTTGGAGAGCCCACGCCCTGCGGCTTCTGTAGGGACCCAGTGACAGGCTGCCCTCTGCTCATCCCGGGACCTCTGCCTGCCTCAGGGTACAGAGGGGCCTGGCTCTGCACAAGCCTGCTCGCTCATCAGCCCTGCACGCAGTGCTTACTTGGCACAGTTACGTGAATGCCTTCCTTTACTTAGACAACTTCGGGTCAGAATGGAAGTTTTGTGTTTGTTTGAAGCAGATGAAATGCTTGGGAGATAAGAGTCTTACAAACCCAGCACTTTACTTTCTCAGAGATAGCAAGTTGCCTCTTAAAGGTGTTTTGAGGAATTTGGTACCGAATGCTTTCTCGTGGGGAAAACTGCCTGGTCTGGAGGCAGATGTCAGACTGAAGCCAAGGGCAGGAATGCTAAGACCCTGTGCTGAGAGGTGCTAGGACCAGGATTGGACTGGGATAGACTGGGTTCAAATTCTGCTGCTTACTACCATGTAACTTTAGAGAAGTTACTTAGCTTTTCTGAGCTCAGGGTTCTTGTCAAATGGGAACTCAGTAGCACTTGGGAGGACTGGCTTAGTGCTACATTCAGTAATTTGCATCAGATGGTAACTGTTTATGTGAATACTGGCTGAGAGCCTGGATGTAACCAGTTCCGGTGTCCTCAGTTGCCCAAACAAGAATTTAACTTGGTTAATCAGGCTGGGTGAATCAATTGTGTTGTCTATAGGCATCTTTTATGTTGCTTATTAGAACTTGGAGTGTCTGGCACTTTTGCCTGGGTTCTATTTGATTAGAACGCTGTTTTCTTTTTTTTGGTGTTGGGGATTGAACTCGGGACCTTGCGCTTGCGAGGCAGGTGGTGGAACCACTGAGCTAAATCCCCGGTCCATGAACGCTGTTTTCTTGATACTTCTAATTCTCTTATTTCTTTTTTATCTTGTTTTTTCTACCAGGCACATAATCTGCACACACATTCTTCTGTAAAGTTTCTAAGAGTAATGCTGACCATTTTGTTCTTTTTATTAAAGAGATTTTACCCTGGAAGCTATCTCCTAGCAGCCACTGTCTTCCCATGAATGATAAAAGTTACTTTTAAAGACTCTTGTAATCCGTTGCCCTGGAGGCCAAGAATTCCAGCTGTGATCAGGTGGACTCTTTTCATTCTTTTATTTAAATCTTCTGTGGCTTTTGATATCTTGAGGTTTATTGCCTTCTGAGTGGTCAAGCCTTATTTGTTTGTTTTTGTATTCATCTGGTGCACACCTGTAATCTCAGCTACTCAGGAGGACTGCAAGTTTGAGGCCAACCTGGCCAACTTTGCAAGACCCTGTTTTAAAAACAAGAACAACGAAATTAAGCAGGCTGCAGATGTGGCTCAGAGGTAGAGTGTGTGCCTAGCACACAGGAGGTCTGGCTTTGATTTCAGAACTGTATAAATCAATAAATAGATAGAACCCTTTACCGAGGGTGGGAGCTGTTTATCTAAACAATCATGCAAAATAATCAGCAGACAGAATCAGGAGTTACATGAAGGTACTATTTCAAAAGCCCTGTCCATAGAAATATTCCTCTGTTAGCAAACCGTGTGATCAGTGTGGGCTGTCTTTGGAGATAAGATAGATACAAGAAGCTGGGAGGAATGTGTGGTTTTTAGCTTAGACCCTTTAACCCCCCATCGTGTGTGTGTGTGTGTGTGTGTGTGTGTGTGTGTGTGTGTGTCTGTGTGTCTCTGTGTCTCTGTGTCTCTGTGTGTCTCTGCCCGCTTTTGTGTAATGAAGCCTGCAGGGTTTGGCCCCAGGGAGCCCTTTGGAAACTTTTCCCTCTCTCTGTGGCCCCCACCCCTTGTCAGTCAGTGCTTGTTGAAAGTATGAATGACTTGTCTCTCTTCGGCTCCACCGGCCTCACCTGCCCCAGGACTCTGTCCCAGTGTCCGATGTTTTCATCCCGTCGTCCAGCCCGGCTCTACTTGGAGTAGTGCTCAGGAAGAGCTTCTTGAAGGAGGAATGTTCATTGTTTTTAGCTGAGAAATCCAGGTTCACTACAGTAGAAAGCTTGGAATGGGAGAAGGAACGTGAGTCCTGTGCCCTTGCAGGTTTCTCCCAAACTTTCCAGAGGGAAAGCAGTTTGCAAGTCTGAGACTCGGTCACCTCTGTCAAGTGTTCTATTTGGATTTTTGAAAATGTGTCATCAAGGTGGGAAATAAAACTTACGACCTTTTGGGTGTAATTGAACTAATAATGACTTTTTCTATTTTTTATATCATTTTTCATTTCCGCTGCAGTCGCTACGAACTATTCTTTTGGTCAGTAAAGTTTTTGTTTGTCGTTAGTTGTGCGGCCTCGGGCCAGTCACTTCAGGTCTCTGTGCCTCTGGTTCCCCACCCATAAAAGGAGACTGAAGAAGAGCACCTTCCACAGGGAGTCTGAGAAGTGCTCAGTATCCGGTCTGGCACATCTTGGTCCTAGTATTTGCTATCATGATTTTTAAAACTGTTTTTGTTTTAATTGTGTAAAAGATGAAAACTACATCTCTTCATTTCTTGGAAAGAAAGAGGATCCAGAGGAGAAACTGAGGCCTCACACTGGTGAGTGCCAGGCCCTGGGCACGGCAGGAAGGTGGGAGAACAACAGGCAGAGATGGTAGCACAGGAGTTTGGTTGTGACCTGCGTGTAGCTGAGACTCTGTTGAGGGTGACAGACCCACACTGAAGACAGGTGGCGATTTTTAAACTATTAGTTAAAATACTATGTGTCCTGTAGTATACACCTGTCGAGTGTGTATTTGTGATGGGCACTGACAAAGCCAAGTATTTTGGAACTTCCTTTCTGTTCAGTCTTTGTATAGTGATGAAATAATATTTTGCACGCTAAGGAAACTTGAAGTATTTTTTGAGAC